GCGCGGTGCCACCAACTGGTTTGCCATTTGCACATGCTCATTAGTGAGAAGCGAAGCCCTTCAAAGATAGGGCCACAGTTCCCAAGTTGGTTCAAAGTTGGACAAGTCTCTAGAACACTGAAAGCACAAACTATGCCTTTCTCTGGAGAGCTGCTTTTTAATGCACAGGTAGAAATCCTGATCAGGTAGATCACCCAAAAAAAGAAGTAATACTCTGAGGCAATGAAGGACCTAAAATATGTCTGCTGAGATTCTGACGGGGAAGAACAGAAACTCAAAATGCCAACAGTAGGCTAGAACTAATTAAGAAAATGGAAGCCATAGAGAGCCATTTTGCTGTTGCTTTTGTTCAGTTTTACAGAAACATTGATGACTAACACGGACTGGAACCATGATCCACAAACAAGGAAGGGGAGAACAAGCAAGTTGCCAACATCCGAAGCTGGCAAAGCTGCCCCAAGCTGAGGAGGCAAGGATACCATATTTGGATCTTGGGAGGTAGATGACAACTCAAAGTCACCAAAATATGATTGTGAAAAATAAAAACAATAATGAAGACAACTTTGTCAGAAGGGGCAAAGCATTGTACACATTGGGTGGGGGGGTGGGGGTGGATTACAACAAATAGGGGTGACCACCAACTGCTGTTTCCTGAGTATTTCCAGAGCTGTGCTCAGTGATGTTCCCTGCATCACCAGCCTTTAGGAAGCTAAATCCATAGCAATACAATTTAAAACCCACTTCTGAGAAATCTTGTACATATTTGCAGTAATCATTTGCCTCAGGCAATTCCTTAGAGCTTGTGAGATAGTTTGAAGCCTAAATGAGATGAGGTGCAATTAAAAACAAAAACCAAAAGAAGTCTCTCTGGCAAAATGATAAAGCTCGTAGTGCAAAAGTAATATAAATAGAATACTCTGAGCAGCAGCAAATTCCAGTGTTACCATATTTCAGGGTGTTTATATAGTTAATGGCATATAATGATCGTATTTCTATAATGAGCTTCCAATTAGTCATTGGTTACTCACTGAGTCCTTTGTGAGAACCAAAGTAAATATAGATATTAAATAATATATGTTAAATATTATATATATATGAGTTTCAGCTCAAGCCATTAGTCATTTCTGCACTCCCTTCCCCCTCCTCCAAGCACTATTCTATAAGCCATGTCTCTTATTTGATCTCAGGTCTCAAATTCTCAGTCCCCACCTAAAGCCAATTTATTTACAACAGATTTAAGCGCTTTGCATGCAAAAGCCTATCTGAACAGAACCCTAAGAGGTCCTTCCAGAAAGCACTTGGCAAGACTGCCAGAAAGAGTGGCGATTTCACAAAAAGAAGTTAGGAAATACCTGAGCAGATAAACAGCTCGGTCAATGTCGCTGAGGTCTTCATCAACTGTCAGCCTTTCAATTTCCTCTGGAGTCTGTCAAGCATAAAACACGGATTATGCGTGCGCGCGCACGCACACACACACACACACACACACACACACACACACAAAACGTGGGTCTAACCCGCAGTCAACGACCCCCTCCATTCTCACCAATGAGAACGTTTCATGGGGCAGCAATATCAGGGAAGATTAAGCCAGGGTCTGAGGACACTAGGAGACCTGGACGGAGAGCGTGTCCCTTAATTGTTGGGTTTGGTTGAATTAGTTTAGGGTTTGTAGTTGTGCTTTCTTAGTTGTTACTGCTGTTTGGGGCGCGGGGTGGGGGGCTGTTTGTACTCTTCTTCGTTTCTAGAAGGCAGCTTGAGCATCACGTTCTGACTTCGGGCCGGTGCCGAAAGCGGGCACATCATGTGCGAGATATAAAGTAAATGCACACTTTTTCTTTCCATAAGCCAAAGCTGTCTCTCCAGAACGTTCCAGCCCCGGGTGGATGGAGACTGCAACGGAATGGGGAGGAGAGGGCGGAATCCGGAGTGGGGGCAGGGGAGGGGAGGGACCCCGCGGGGTGGGGGGAGCTCAAGGGGTGAGCGAAGTGCGGTAGGGTGGGCGTCCGGTGACCCAGGGGGGGACAGCAGCGTAGTCCAGGGCTTCGGAGGCTGGAGGAGGATGACTGCGGGGTGGGGAGCAGGTGGGGGTGGGGAGGAAACCGAAGGGGGTGCTTCCCAGGGGTGGGAGGCAGGGTCCCCGGTGGGCCAGGAGATCGCATCCTGGAGGGGCTGCGGGGAAACGGATGGGCGGGCGCTCGGGGCCCCCTCCCAAAAGAGCTTTCACGATCAGGGCCGGGACGACTCCAGGAGGTGGCTGAAGGCCCGGGGGCAGAGGGGCCAGCGGGACCCCAGAGGGTTCTGGCACAGACCAAGGGGGTGACGGAGGACGGGCTCCCGTGTTGCCCAGCGGGGTCGTCGAGCTGTGCTGTCTGAGGGTCGGGGTGGGGGGCGGTGGGAGGGGGACTCCTGGAGCCGCGGCCGTTCCTGGGGGCGGACAGGCCGGGGTCCAGGGCCGGCTCCGCAGTAGCCCCTCGGGCCAGGAAGGAGTCTGACGGGGAGATCGGGTCGTGACCAGGGACTCCCCGGGCGCAGTGTGGAGAGAGGCCCCGGGGACAGTGTCCAGGGGACCCCGAAGAGCAGCGTCCGTGGGGCCCTAGGGCGCTGCGTCGGGGGGCGGGGGAGGGCCCGGAGTGAAGCGACGGGGACAGGACGCAGAGGGTCCCGGGCCGCCTCGGGACGCAGCCAGGACCCGGCGGGCGCCCTGCGGGACTCTCTTCCCCGGGGCGCACCTTGAGGCTCCGGCGGACCGGCCTCTCGATGATGGTGAGCTCCTGCAGGTCCTCCATGTAGCCGAACAGGCTGTTCTGACTGAAATCCATCGCGGCGGCGGCGGGCAGCGGCGGATGCATGGACCGCCGGGCCCCCTCACCGCCCCGGCCCGAGCGGCCCCGGGATGCCGAACGCGCGCAGCCCCGCGGCCGCCCACCAGCAGCACTTTCTCCCGCTCTCTACGGCGGGAGCGGAGCGTGAGGAGAGCCGCTGGCGGGAGAACGAACACCGCTGTCCGAGGGGGCGGGCTGGGCCGAAGGGGGCGGGCCGAAGGGGCGGGGAGGGGGCGGGACACAGCCACAACGCCCGCCTTGGCCCCGCCCCCTCCGTGGCGCACGCGCGCGCACGGTCCGGACGCAACTGCCACGCAACGTCTCGGCGCCCACCTCCGCCCTCTGGGCCCGCTTGGCTCCACCTACCTCTTCCTTTAGCCCGCCTCTGGCTAACCGAGCTCCACCCCTCTGCGCATGCGTAGATCCCTCCACCTCACAGCGGGCCAGAGTGGATTGGGGGCGGGGACGGGGACGAGGATGCTGAACCAATGAGAGAGAAGTAGTGGAGAGGGAGGTGGGCTAGGGGCTCACCGCCCTCCTAACCTGCAGTTAGCTGTTAAAAACTTCAACTGGCAGGCTGCGGATGCAGAGACTACCCAAGTGCAGCCCTTGCCCAGCAGAGGGACAAATGAGCAATTATAGTTTTTGCTTGCCTGGGTGTTGGGGGCGGAGTGTAAGGGAATGCAGTTCAGAGAGAGCTCACTTTAGGGAGGTCAGCGTTCAAAAGAGGCGTCTCCTGGGAAGAGACACTTCGACCGAACTTTTAAAGATCCATCAGGCTTCCCCAGAAAGAAGAGGTATCTGGGGGCCCAGGGATGCTCAGGACCAAGGCTCAGGGGGCTGAGAACCCGAACCCCGGGACGTTTGGCATGAGAAATACAGTCCGTTCAGGGTACAGTTTGGGGTGTGGGGGGACCGGGTTCTTGGCTGGTTGGGTGAAAGAGGAAAGCAAATGCTTTATACATAAAATCCCTGCTCCTGGCAGCCCTTTGAGTGGCTTGCACTTGAAATCTTGGAAGTTGGAAGGAGTGTAAGATTTTCTGGACCTTCGGGGGCCAGAGTCTTATTGTCAGGCTTGTCAACTGTCATACCCTCTCCACACATATCCCTCTGCCCCCACATGCGCCCTCTCATGTTTAATAAATATTCCTTGGGGAATACTAATGTTTTTGTTTCTGTGTCAATTTTTAATGCACATGAATGCATGAATGGTATTGTGCTGAAGAATTCACTGCTTTTCAAAAAAAAGTTAAGGTTTTAGGGGTCTGCTCATGCGGTTAGGAGCCCTGGTGGTGTAGTGGTTACACCTTGAGCTGCTAACCACAAGCTCAGCCATTCGAAACCACCCAGAGAGAAGACCTTTCTATTCCAATAAAGACTTGTAAAAAGTCTCAGAAATTCCCTGGGCAGTTCCACCCTGCCCTCTAGGGTCACCATGAGATATAAACCAAGAGTTCATGAATTCTGTCCACTAATAGTATCAGATTTGTGTCTGATGAATTTGACTTACTCTCATTTTACTCTGTGAATCATTGTTTAATGTGTTCTGCAAATGGGTTGGACTACTAAAAAAATCCACTGCCATCACACGAATTCCCATCCATAGTGAACCTAGATAAAGAGTGTTTCTGAGACTGAATCTTTATAGAGACAAAGTCTCCTCATCCTCCCTGGGAGCAGCTGGGAGTCTGAACTGCCACCTTTGGCAGCCCAAGACCTAACCCATAGTGCCACCAGGGCACCCTTTATGGACCTGTGAGCAGGAGCGATGGCTTGTAAAGTCTTCACTTGCTGGGTTTCACTCTTCCTCCTGGCTCTCCCAAGTGACTAGTATTTACACTCAGGGTAGTGGAATGTGAAGGTAGAGAGGCTCCTCTTTCTGACACGGATATGCTATCATTTGGTCTTTAAGTCTATTACTCCATGAAGCATAATTACAATTAGCTTTCTCATCTCTGTTTCTTTGAGCAGCCTTGGTGGTGTAGTGGTGGTTACACATTGGGCTGCCACCCACACGGTCGGCAGTTCGAAACCACCCACACCTCTGCTTTCTACTCCCATCCACAGTGACAGTCTCAGAAACTCACACAGGGACAATATGAATCAGCATCGACTCAATGGCAGCGAGTTTGGTTTGGGGCTTTATTTCTTCGATAATTGGTGATGTCACCCATTTTTCCATAAAAATCGGAAACATGCCAATATTCTTCTTTTGTGAATTACCTATTATTTGTCTGGTGTTTTTTGTCTTTGTCTGAATGAAGATGTTTCTAATATAGGTAATATAGGAATCCCTTGTCTGGGGTTGTAGACATCCCCTGTCTTTCATGCATCCGGTTCATTTGGCTTTCTGATGTCTTACATACAAGAGAAAATCCTTAATGCTGATGTCACCAAATGCATCCAATTTCAATCTTGTGGAGTGTGCTTTGGGGTCTTGCTTTAGAATCTTTCACATGCACCCCAACCCCAACCCCCGGGTCACCAAAATAATGTCCTACATGTTCTTCTATTTGGCTTTTCATCTCTCACAGGTCGTCATCCACCAGGAGGTATACATCCACCATGGACACAGGTCGTCTCCGACAGATAATGTTCTCAGATTATGAAGAACCACACTTGGGACCACCTGGATTTGTTTGTTTGTCTGCTGTAATAACTTCTCATTCGTCGTGTGTATTACATGCAGTGTTGGAGCACATAATTTGCTGATGTTATCATTCTCACGTCAGCTCTCAAAGACAAAGAGCAGATTTTTAAAGATCCTGATAATAAAAGGCAGTATCGTAAGCACAAGATTACGGGATGGGACCTCCTTGTGAATTGGGACTGTCCGTTCAATGAGAGTAAGGCTGTGGTTTTCTTTTCTCCTCACAGGGGGTCGGTTTCCCCAGCAGCACTCACCCCCAAATGCACTCTTCGCCCACCCATGGATGGTGGCATATCTGTCACGTCGCCACAGGCACATGTCTGTTTCTGGGCACCCATTGCTTTTCTCCTGAGTCTGGTCCTGTGCCAGCACCGCTCTATGTCCCACATGCTGGTTCATCTCTTTTGCAATAGCGTCTATGCCTTTCAAAGTGAACACAGTCCGTGGTGACCCCACCGCTGAGTGCCAAGCTTTCAGACCCCCTAGTTCACTAAGGAAGGGGAAGCAGTGGTTCACTGGCAGAACTCTCACCTTTATGAACCCGCACACCTCACGTGTAGTCACCACCCCCACCACTGGTCTGTCTCTAGAGGCTTGCTTGTGGCTATGAAGATTTTAGGAAAGCTGTCCAAACTAACATGGAAGAAAGGCCTGGCGCTCCACGTCTGAAAACCAGCTGATGAAAGCCCAATGGATCACTATGGTTCAATGTAGAACCCATCACTAGGGAGGGCGCAGGACCAGTTTTGCATTCTGTTGTACCTGGGGTCACCATGATCGGGAGAGGACTGGTCGGTAGTGAACAGAGTGAACAATAGTTCACTCAGTGTGTTAGTCTGGGTACTTTAGATAAACAAATCCACAGAAACTCATATGTGTACAAGGGAAAGTTTTATATAAAGGTTAAGTGCACATCAAGAAAACATCCCAACCCAGTGCTGCCCAAGCCCACAAGCCCAACATTAACCCATATGTCCGACACCAATCCACAAAGTCCTCCTCCATCTCACAAAACACACACTACGACGCAGACTGCAGGAGGAAAGCCAAATCAGTGAACATGTAAGATAAGCATCTCAGCGCTGGCAGGGGTCTCCACACGGCTGCTCCAGCACCCAGGTCTGCATCAGGGTAGGTCCATGGGGATTCTCCTCAGGGATGTCTTTCAGGAAGTGAGCCTTGCCAGCTGAAGTAGGGAACTGGCTAAGACAGCTGTCCCCTGGTCCAACCATCAGAAAACAAGAGACCCGAGAACTAGAAAGGCGAGGCTCACCGAGCCATTTATCTCTCTGCCCTTCAATTAACTGCACATGTGTTTATCAGCCAGGTTGGCACAGTAAACTTTAACTCACTCAGGAAGAGTGAACAAAAAATCAAAAAGGTAGGAGGAAGGGGGCGGGGGAAGAAAAACTCTCAGGATTAGGATGGAGAAGAAACAGAGACACGGGAGGTGGTTTTCCTTAGCAAATACCTGGTGGCTTCCTTTTCTGTCGATTTCTGAAGTTCTCTTCCTTTCCCCCTTATTTGTAACTGACATCACCCATTCCGGCTAAGAAGCGTTGTACTCAGATTTTAGAGCAGCATCGTGGTCATCGGGGAGAAAAACGAGACTTTCTACTCCCTAAGGAGTGACAGTCTCGGAAACTCACAGGAGCAGGTCTACCGTCCTGTAGGCTTGCCAGGAGTTGGCATGACTCAGTGGCAGGGAGTTTGTAGTTCATCACTGTCATCTGAGGTCGATGATGTTCCTAGGGATGGGGTGCACAGGCACAGCTTTGGGGTTGGCGTCCTGGGGCAGGAGCTGAGATGGGAAAGCGTCAGTTTGATACCGGGGATCTGTAACCGATATCGTTGCCACCCTGTGCTGGAGGGATCCCTGCCCAGCCTGGCTGCCAGGAAACCTGAGGCCTAGCCCTGGCTGGGCCAATGGCATAGGGTGTCAGCTGGGACGGCTCCTGGGGTCCTGTGTTCCTCCTCTGCATGAGCTGTCTGCTAGGCTTTCAGAGAGGTTCACAGACATGCTTTCCATTTTCACAAGAACACCCAGCTCTGGGAGGCTTTCTCCACTCACCCCCCCAGGCACCTTGTCAGCAACGACGACGATGGTGGTTTGCTGTAGCAGCAAAAGGCAACTGAGACCATTCTCTACGATAAACATATTTCTGTTTTAGTTGTTCCATTGTACACAGGGTCACCATGTGTCCGAACCGACAGGACGGCACTTAACAATAAAAACAACAACAGCACACAATCGATTTCAGGTGAGTAAGAGGCCAGACTGTGGAAGAAAACATGTTCCAACTTCTGGAAGAAAACATGGGAGACTTTTTCTATACCATCTGACTAGGGAAGATGTTCTTTAACAAAAATCATAAGGTATGAAAAGTTAAAAAAAAAATGGGTCAGTCTGATCTTTAAAATG